TAACTTTAATGGATCACTTTAATTGGCTAATATTATTTAAACAATAACACTACACATTTTAATATATTACGTGTGACCCATATATGTTGAAATTTTCCAACATCCACCCCATTACTTATTGCTCCATTCTTACGATCTTCTTCATCCATGGTAACACAGAATGTCCTTCCCCTTGTTTCTGGTAGGAAAGCAACAAACAATCCACACACAGCTATTATTTTCCCGAACACCCCATATGAAAGCAGCCCATTCTCTCTGCTGGCTGCCACTAAGATCGGCAAGAAACCCCACCTAACATCATTGCCTGCCTCAACATTGAAACAGCCGAGTTTCTCGTGCATGTCAGAAACAACTCCAATGTATAAATCATAAACAAATCTAACGCAGCGATCCCGCAGAAATATGATATCAATTCTAGTCCTATTTGCATTCCCTTCTTCCTAATCAACACACATGTTACACTACAAATTCCACTCAATATAGCCAATCCCAGTACCGAGAACTTCATGTTCAGTTTCCCAATAAGAAAGTATATAATCAAGGCAGCTGGAATTTGTATAAAAGCATTTAGTGCCACACTCAAGTATAGATCAAATGCGAAGTTGCCAAGGCTTAAAGGCATGCCAAAATAAATCATGCTAACTCCGAAGCCAACCACCATAACTGACGCAAGTCGCCGTGAGGCCCAAGATGTTTGTAATAACATCTTTATTGCGGAGTAATAGTCTGTTTCTTGCAATTCGTCTTCCCACTTAATGCACCTGTCGACGAAGTTGTCAGTTAAGACCCGATTCGCAGGTGCAGCAATACTTCTCAGTGTTTTAGCGAAATCTTCCTTCCGGCCCTTGATATAAAGATATCGAGGAGATTCACAAGCTAGAAAATACAATAACACAGAGTAAAATACTGGTGGAATGCAAGTCCACAAGTAAAGGAGTCCCCACGAGGAACCTTTGGTCAGATAAGCAATACCAGGTAAAGAAAGAAATCCGAAAGGAAAACCGATGAATCCTATGATCCCAACATTTCCTCTCCATTTTTTCCCAACAAGTTCTGCGGACAAAACAAGTGCACAGGTGGCAATTGTTGACCTACCAAATCCACTGATAAATCTCAAAGCGGTATACATCCATATGTTGGCAGAGAATGCGGTTAAGACTCCGCTTAGAGTCATGATCAGGCAAGATAGAATAAACATGTTCTTCCGGCCTAAAGAGGAGTTCGCCAGGGTTGCAAGGACAAATCCACCGACGAGACAACCCAAAAAGAAGGTCGATGCCAGGATGCCGATGATAATGGGGCCGGAACATGCAAGGGACCACTCAGAGATTATGGACGTGTGAGCGGGCAAATCCCAGTTCCAAGAATCTCTTGGAATTCAACAGATATTCTTGCACGACGAAGTACTTGGTAAAGTGCAATGCCATGTTGGCTTAGCATCAGTAAAAACACCAGCCCCGTTCTCCTACCCCCAGTGGGT